TCTACGTTAGCAGATTGGAATTACATATGCAAATTCCGCTGATGCTTCATGCCCATTAGAATAGAGAATAACTCTTTCGCTGACAATTTTTGAGAACAAAAATGCTTTGGAATATAAAGCGAACTTTTGAGATAGACAGTTAACGTTAGCCGATTGAAATTGAAATTGCATTTCGAGTTGACGTCTCTCAAGAAGGTTTTAACGTCCGAGAGTTGCGACGTCTCAACATTTAAAGTTGCAATTCAAAGTCTTTTGCGAGGGCTTAAACGTTGCTTGAAAACTCTCTTTTTGCTGACAATTTTGAATAAAAACGTTTTGGTAACGAAGTTTTGAAACGGTGAGGTCAGTTGTCGGGAACAGATTGTGATTACGTTTCTATAGCGAGTCGGTGCTCTTTATTACATTTTAGATTGCAGATTGCAGTCTTTCGCGTAGGCTTGAAAATTGGAGCGCCACGAGGAGAATACTTCGGGGTGTACGGGGAAGTATTGAAAGAGAGGTCAGTTTAGGTAATTGTCAACAGATTGAAATTACATTTGTATGTCTTGCCAATGCTTCAATGTTTACGCAACAAGATGAGATTGCATTTATATATTTCGCAAAAAATTGATAGACTTAGACATTGGATCACTTTTTCGTTGATAATTTCACGAAGATTGGAATATAAAAGGAAGAGAGATATTCAAGTTACCAGACTGTGATTGCCCTTATTTCTGAGTATAAGTTTTTCTCTAAAGCTGAAAGAGTTTGCAGTATTGAAGATCTCGGAAGAAAGGCACTCAGTTAAAATATAAAAAACATGGCATCATTATGTAAAGTGACGTCATGCTAATAATGACGTCAGTTGATCTATTCGCGGTGGGAAAGAAAGAGGGCTCGGTCCCACCAGACAGACATACAGAAATGATCTTATAACACGTAGCCTATAGGTTTAAGTATAAGACATTATAGTACAAAACCGACGTCATACAAAACATGACGTCATATAAACGAGACATCATATAAAACGTGATGTCATAAACACTATTTTGCGCTCAAAGTCTTCGCGGATAAATTCTCATCGACGCTTAACATGAAAGGCGATCATGTTATTCAGACAGACGACTTGAAAACGGAGCAGAAAATCAATAACCGCAAATATCTGCACTAGCCTTATTATACCGCCGTTATTGGGCTAGTTTTGGGGCAGTGGTTCTCAAAAGTTTCATTATCTGTGTCCCCTTTTTAAAAGGCTTTCTACACTCTTTGGGCCCCGACAGTTCTATAAAGATCACTAATTTTGCATTCAATGCGTTTTCATGGAATATTTTTTATGCCACGTTTCATCATTCAAGTCAACAAACGAAAGCAAAATATGGTCATTTGCAATTCTTCGTTTATCAGTAATTTTTTTAGTTCTATCGGTGGTCTCGCTTTAAGCAATTTTCCATAAAATATTACATATGCACAAATCGCATATGCACATTGCTTGTCTGGGAGCTTGTTGCAACGGCTACAAAAATACAACCAATTTTAAACAAACGCTAAGATTCAGTTATGATTGTTCGAAGCGATAAAAATACGGTCAATCTGAGGCAAGCGCTGTAATACCTCGGTTAAATTTACCCGACGCATTGAACACGACACTTAACTTGTAAGCAAGACGAACGAGTTTAAAGTGCGGCGAAAAAAATCGATACTTGCGGACACAAAGACGTTTTAATTGCGGGGATATACTTATCGATTACCGAGATCATGGCGACGGCTTGACACTTGAAAATATCAGCGAAAAAGCAGATTTCGTTTTTGCTAAGCTGGCAATTTCTTATCAATTTAGATTTTAGATGAATTGGATTGATTTTTGTTAATCGAATATTGGCGTACAAATCGAAAGTGGTGCCGGACTATTTGGGCCAGAGTCGGAGAATTTTCGTATTCGGAGCCGAATTTTTGGCCCGAGTTAGAAGTAGTCAGATCCGCAAACGAAATCGCCAAATCGGAATCTGGAGTCAATTTTTTATTCGGATAGTATCCGGAAGATTTGTCTCTCTCCTTCACAGCTAATTCACAACAGGCAAAATATACCTATTGATTACCGAGATCATAACGACAGATTGACACTTGAAATAATATCGGCGATAAAAGCAAATTTCTTTTGATCGCTGGCAAATTTCTTTTTAATTTAGATAGTTTGGGTTGCATTTAGAATCGAATAATTCCGAACATATTGAACCTAAATCGACCTAACTATATTGACCCCGGAAGTTTAATATCCATTACCTCAGACAAAGCGTAATATATTGGTTAGTCGGCCCGAGGGTACTCCAGAAGTATGAGCACCAAGATGGCGGACACCGAAACGTATGTGCACCAGATTATGGTTAGACCATAATTTTAGGTACAAATACCACGGGAGTCACTTGGCTAGTCACCGAACTCGTAATAGAACTAAAATAAGGCGTTTTTGAAATAAAATTATGGCCTAACTTGAACCTGGTACACATACTATGTTCCGGTGCCCGCCATCTTAGTGCACATACTTCGGAATGCCGACGAGGTTTAAATTTTCTGCATAATTTCAAAAAGCATTGAAACATATATAAGCCAAAGATTAGGTTATCAAAATTTGTTTTTCTATGAGGTCGGAGCTGAAGTTGAAGTCATAACTTTGCTTTAACCCGGAGCCGTGAGTCGAAGTTGAATGTGAGGGGATACACAATTTCCCCCGCTCACAACAGTTGTAAACTTCAAATAGTGTCAGTTGAAAAATAAATTGGGTCAAAAGTTTAGAATCTAGATAGTATTCAGGAATTATATACTACTATATACTATCTTGCAACGGTTAGAAATATGTAAGCCAAGTATATCCCTCACACAATGTAACAAGTGAATTTTTTATGAGCGCGCAAGATATTCCCCATACGAACTATGTATTATCTTATCTGCCTTGTCAATTTATCGCTTTCAAATCAAAAAAGCGTCAAAATCTGAATATAATATACACGTCCCAGTAAAGATACTACTAACAAAAATTGTAAAATGTACTGAAAAAGCGAAGTTTCGACTAGGAATTCCTTTAATTTTTCGCTATGAACAAGACTCTGTACAAGCATCCACTCCCAAGTAAAGAGCTGCTATATTATGCAGGACTGGCTGGGATCTTACCGGTTCGGTATTGATCACCCAAATTTATTACATCCTGGTCAAAGCGGTGGGCTTGTTGATTTTATACGGTGCCTTTACCTCTGAACAATTCCCTATTTAAACAGCCACAGCTTTTTGGAAAGACCCGAAAAATTTCCGGTCCGGCAGAGACTTCAACCATACGCTTGTCTAGGATCAATTTAAAATTTATTTTTGTAGATTGGAATACTTATTAAACAAAATGTTGGCAACACAGTCTAAGCTAGCTTATCATTTAAACAAGTATTACACGGAACGTACAATGTCAAGGAAGTCTATGTTGGCGAGTCGAGTGTTTGAAGTCGGTAAAACAATCACGGATATATTGAAAGAAGTGGAAACGCAAGAACCACGATTTATAAGGTATGCAAATGAATAGTTGGTACCGAATATTCATTCACTGCTATTAGAGTTGCAAGTTTCGGTATTCAAACCAAGTGTTAACACGCTGAGATATTACTTAGCTAATTAGAAGGTTGCAATATAGAGATGTTAAAAATAATATTATTATCTTATAAGTTACAGATATATCTAACACACCGCGACATTGAACGGCATGTGGCTAGCGCATCTTTGTCTGCGGGCCGCTCTTTTTCTGATTGGCAAGTCATACAGTTAAGCCACGCTAAACGTGTGCAAGATGGATCACCGCAACAGAAAATCTTTAGACAAATGAATGTCCCAAGTCGGAGTGGAAGATTTAAATTCTTCGGTGTATCGGGTCGGACTGTAAATGGTGGTAATCAAACGCTCAAGTTGACGAATAATGAAAATAATGCTTGCAAAGTGAAAGTTTTGGGCCACACTTATCTCACAGAGTTCGCAGCGGAGGTCAAAATTATTGCCAACCGGGAGCAATCAATAGGGTGTTGTTATTGATAAGATAATCAGGAAAATCACAAAGAAGTTAATAAGACAAAAATCGAAATTGTAAATAGCTACAAGAGGTTTTAACGTTGATTATTGTTTTGCGCAATCCATTTGACACTTATGCGAGAGGGAATTATTGACAGCGCATCGAGTTTTATTACCTCACACAACAAACTCCACAGCCTCGGATTTGCGTTGAATGGTATAATCCGTATAATTATTAACAAGTTAATTAAGACAAAAATCGAATTTGTAATTAGTTATTAGAGATTATTTTGTCAATGATTATTTTTGCGTAATCAATTTGCAACAACATAACGGTCATAGGTGGAACGATCGAAGAAATTATTCACTGTTCATCGAGTTCACAATAGACTCAGATCTCGCGAGAAAATCACATTTTGAAAACGAAAACTTTGACGAGCGTACTTTTTATCATGATATTAAAAACCGTTCAATAGACTTTTTGAGTTTCAGAAGAAAATCATTTAAATTCCGACATCAGGGAATTCAAAATTCCCACTTGGGCAGCGAAGAGATCAACTCTAGTCCCGACTCCAGTGAATACACGCCAAACTGTAAAACTGGATAATCTGACTAATTACAAATGAGTTACAATTAATTACAAAATAATGGATATGTGCCGGGTGCTTTCGGGAAAGCTTAATACAAAGCATTGGATTTCCATTATCGCCAGTGAAAGATTTAAAATAATTCTCACTCCGGCTCGGAAAAGATCAACTCTATCGTTTCGAGTTTTCGTTTAAAATAACAATTCGCCATAATTGAAATAGAATTAGCATGATTAGTAATATGTGGGCAAGAATTCCATTGGCCTTTCAGAGAAAATTAAGCAGATTTGAATATGATTGCATTTTGTTTATCAATTCAGCACACTGAACGAAGTTGACGGGCGTCTCGATGGTCTGGACGTGATATCACCAACAGAATTTCAAGTTGCGTTTTACCTTAATCAAATGGGTGTGTTCAATTTTGTGGACGATGGTTCTATTCCAGGGTGTGCCGTGCTGAAACTCAGCGATGGAAGAAAACGTAGCATGTCTCTATGGGTGGAATTTATTACCGCGTCAGGGTGAGTCTTGCAGAGTATGTCGAAAGATATCTGTCTGCATTGTAATAAATTTAATTTTTGATCGATTTCCATGCTGGCCTTTTGATCTCGTCCGAAACTATTACTTTCATCCCAATGTAGACAGACAGATACTGCTCATCTCAAAAAGTCCGAAACCAATACCTACAATTTGCTGTTTATTTATAATGAGGGGAAACACATATTCCCGCTTCCTTGATTTTTTCACTATGTACTCTAAAGGCTCAATTCACCGGTAACTAAAAGTTCGTCCGAAACTATTACTTTCAATAATTTTGATACAGGTACCTTTCGGCTCGCAAAGTTCGGGCTCGTTTCCATACTCTGGTCGGACAAGCGATAGACAGGTGCAATTACAGATCTTGCGTCAAACTTATGACTGATAGTACTGACGTCATACTACTCATACGTGACGTATATACGGTAAGCATAATTTTGCTTTCAACGCGTTTTCGCAAACGCAACGCGCTCGATAATACAAAACCAAAAATCGAAAGATAAAAAAAAAGGATCACAATCAAATGATTATACAATTCGTAGTCATTTTATAGGGAATGGTGGTATCAAGTTAACCACACTTTTACATTATTCTAACCCCCAATTCAGATGTGAAACTAAGTTAAATTCTGAGCATCAGTCCATACGAGGAAATCGGATAGGACGACGTCATACTTAACGAATCGTCCTAACACCTGTCCAGGCCTATGGCCGGGACGCAGGAAACAATTTTCAAAAGGATGAGATGGCTCTGAAATTTGTAATTGTCAAGTTTCCAAGTTGAAAGTGGTTTCAAGCAATCTCGCGGGTTTCAAAACGTTATCTACGGCTACGTTATTTCTATGTGTAATACAGATTTTTTTTACATTCAAATGGGGGGGGTGGGGGGATGGCACAACCACCCCACTGGGTACGCTCGTACCTATGACTAACCAATTCTCCCTTGTTCTATCGTTCCCGCCAAAACGGGTTAGTACATACAACCCGTATAATCGCTAGCTTATACGATTTAGAACAGGGTTGGGCAAAGTGTCTGCGTAAATATTATCTACATC